TTTATATAGTCATTAGTAGTAGCTGGCTGGCTCTTCAATGCTCGAAACATGATAGTTGAATGCAGTACTACAACTACTAGTGTTCAAGATATATAATCACAACGGCACTCATAAGATGATTTCACACGAATGATAACCTAGTGAAATCAATAGGACTATTACTATGCCGAAAAAACAAGAAAATCATTCCACACAGTAGTACTTAGTCCAATTATCGATCACCTGAACGCACTAAACCAGTAGTACCAAATGGAAGAGTGAGGTGGTTTCTCAGACGGAGGGCTGAAAGCTGAAAGCTAATGAATATATCATAATACTACTACTAGCACTACAGACACAGAGAAGCCCATATTGTAACCCTACAACACTACTATTATCATAATAGCGCTTATAAACACAACCGTGCCAATCCCACTACTACATGTATGTATGTATACCTACAAAATCCATTTAAATGAGTGCTATGAGTTTACTCCAGTTCCATCAGTAATATGATCATGATCTGTATAATAGTACTTGTACCCACGTCACAATATAACCAACTATAGTACTACTAACTACTATATCATCACGAAACCGACCAGCTACTACTATTACTATCACCTACCAGCCAGAAATAACTGAAAGAGTAATAAGAGATCAACAATAAATTAAGACTGTGCCTACCCCTCACCCAGTCCCAATAAATCAGAAGTAAAAGAAATGGCCAAGAAAAGCAAGAAAGAGAAAATAACCAGAAGAACAACACAGCCACTCGAACCGAACCGTTACATTGATTGCATGTGAGGTGAACTTTACCTACCTAGTATACTGGTAAACTATCTGGTGATGGATGGTCACTACCAAGCACATACATGCATACTACATAGCAATCACGTCATTAGAAAGAGAAAAAAAACCAGGACCAGATCCTTGTAAGTAGTAGTCATATTCCTAGTAATTATTACAATAGATCGATTCAATACATACATACAAATGAATACCCCAATTTCCTACCTAGAATATACCCCCACCCCTCAAACAAGGGTCTAAACAAGGATGATGCATGTTGATTGGGGACATGCCAACCAACCAGCCAGCCAGCTACCTAACCAATAACTAGTACTAATACTACTGTGTACAAGGTGGTCAATCCGCTTACCCGGTGCCTCTGCCTCCTGTGTGGCTGCTGCGGCGTTATGCAGCCTCCGCCTGTTTCAATCTGGCGTGCTTTGTACTGTTGCTGTCGCTGTCGTATTCATTATTGCTTTTTCTGCTCTCGGGGATGGAGGGGGGGTGTTGCAGATCGAGGCTGGATAGCAGGGATCAAGCCTGTAGTTTACTATCGAGATGCATCGACTTCATGTAGGTGACTTGAAGGGGTTCATGTGATGGTGTGAAGACGTGCCCGAGGAAGGCACCAGCAGTTTTGTCTACAGGTAGAAAAATGTAATGACAGTTTCATAATGCTAAACAGAAGCAGATAGGTACAGTTTCTCTCCAATTATCAGCATGCAAGTGAAAGCTACACACTATCTAGTCCCATCCGTTCCGGGAACAAGCCAACTGATACATAACTTTTTGTTTGATAAACCACAACAAAGAAATGAGATAATTAACGTGTATCCATGAGAAATATCAGTGCACAATCGTGTAGGTTTCGAGGTCACCCAATGTCGGGGGAGCCTGTTGTTGTAAACTGAGCAAAACACGCGAATAGTCTATCGTGATATCGACGAACGCCGCCCGTACCGTGGTTACGAAAAAGGAATCATGCGAAGGAAAATGAACGTCTACCGATGTGAGAATGGAATACAAGCTCAGTGGATGAACTGAGCAGCGAGGTCAAAAGGTTACCAGCGACGGTTGCCACCAAGAGGAGCAGCATTGGAAGCAGTGAAGTGGTTGCCGCGGCCACGGCCACCACCACGGCCACCCCAGCGGCCATAGCCACCGTGGCCATGACCACCGCCGCCACTGTAGCGGACCATCTCGGCGAGACGGGGGTCAATCTGCTGCTTGGCCTCAGTGAGAATGGTGACCAAGTCACGAGCCTGCTTGGAGTCTGCAAGAGGTGACATGTTAGCATCATGCTTGACCATCTTGTGATGGAAGAGGTAACTTACTGTCAGTGGTAAAGAAGGTGATGGCGGTACCCTTAGCACCGGCACGACCAGTTCTACCAATACGGTGAACGTAGTCCTCCGAGTTGTTGGGGTAGTCATAGTTGAGAACGTGTGTGATGTCGCGCACATCTTCAAACACATGTAACGTTAGCAAACAGAGCATTAGTCAATTGAGCAACGTGGCTTAGGAGCCTTTCTCAGTCGTATGAGACTTGATGCATCTCTCTCTCTCGCTCGGACTTAAAATCATCAAAAGATCCGTGACAGACGAGTCCGAGGGTGGCAGATATCGTGGTCCTAGAGCAACCTTGGAATGCAGCTTCAACAAGTCGGCAAGAGAGGAAGTTTCCCTCCCTCTACCGGCCAAGTTTTTAAAGGGTTGATATGGTGAATCAGAACAGAAGAGTAATACGTCTGCTACACTGCACTGTGAGTCCAAGGCCCTCCTGGCTTGAGAACCATTTCAGGAGACCCGACAAAGCCTGGAAGAGTCATACACACCAACAATTGGTGGAAGAGAGTTAAGCACCGTGCCATGGTCACGCAACCTCAATACGGGTGAAGGGTGACTTGGCGGCAAGAAAGGAAGGGGGGAAGGGGGGAAAGGGGAGGGGGGGAGTTTGCGATTTATTCATACCGATACCACGGGAAGCCACATCAGTAGCCACCATGATTGGGCTCTTGCCCGTCTTGAACTCGTTCAAGACCCAATCTCTCTCTTGCTGTTGCTTATCACCGTGAATAGCTGGAACGCAGGTTAGCATATGACTCTTTCAGTGTCAGGATCAAGGGAGCTTACAAAGTGCCGGCCATCCGTCCTGGCGGAGGAAGCGTGTGATCTCGTCAGCGATGCGCTTGGTGCCGGTGAAGATAAGGCACTTGTTGCCGCGGTTCTCCATGATCTTCTCGAGGTGCTTGATCATCTTGTCGCGCTTCTCGAAGTCCGAGACGACCTCGACGATCTGAGTGATACGGTGGTTGGCCGACAGATCCATGGAACCAATGTTGACCTGGATGTAGTCGTTGAGGAAGTCAGAGGCAAGCTGACGGACCTCCTTGGGCCACGTAGCGGACCACATGCAAGTCTGACGGTCAGGGCGAATCTGGGAGATGATCTTGCGGATCTGGGGCTCGAAACCCATGTCCAGCATGCGATCGGCCTCATCCAGAACGAGGTAGGTAACACGACGAAGGTTGGTGCGACCAGCCTCGAGCATATCAATCAGACGACCGGGAGTCGCAATGCAAACTTCGACACCACGGCTCAGGTCACGGATCTGAGGACCCTTGGGGACACCACCGTAGACACAGGTGTTGCGAATACGAGAAGACTTTCCGAACTTGGAGATTTCGGCCTGAATCTGAACGGCCAATTCACGGGTGGGGGCGAGGATAAGGACAATGGGGCCGTCACCGGGGGCGAGAAGGGGCTGGGCGTTGATGTGAACGATGGCAGGAAGACAGTAGGTCAGGGTCTTTCCGGAACCCGTCTCAGCGATACCGACGACGTCGCGACCAGAGAGGGCCATGGGCCAACCCTGAGACTGGATAGCGGTGGGGCGGTCGAAGCCCTGGGCCTTGACCTCGCTAAGGACGTACTGAGGGAAACCAGCCTCGTCGAAGGTCTCGACGGGGCGAGGGACGTTTCTTCCCTGAACAGCCATCTCGTGCTTCTTACGGAACTCGTCGACATCACGCTGAGAGCGCTCGGCGACATCGGCGTGTTCCTTGTAGAAGGACTTCTCGAACTTGGGCAGGGAGTCAAGGTCCCATTCCTGCTTCTTCAGACCAGAGCCCAGGTTGGACATGCGGTCTCCGCCAGCACCGCCGGCACCACCTCCTCTGCCACCATAGCCGCCGCCGCCGTAGCCGCCGCCGCCATAGCCACCACCGCCGTAACCACCACCACCACCGCCGCCGTAGCCTCCACCGTTGGAGTAACCGTTACCGTTACCGTAGCCGCCGCCGCCGCCGCCGTTTCTGGAGCTATAGAGCATGTTAGCAAGCATGTTCGTTTGAGAAATACAGGTTCTCGACGTAGTGTCGAAAAGAGCAGACAGGTCTCGAAAGGGTTGACGGTTGACCGGATCGCGTGACAGCCCGGACCGCAAGCCAGGCTGGGATAGCCAGGAAGCGATCACAGTCGCGATTCAAGTCGCACAGCCACAAGGCTGGCTTGCACTCGAGCAATCCAACTAGACCAGTGCTCTGATTGCAGAGGGATAACTTACCGGTAGGAGTCGCGCTGGTAGCCGCCGCCACCGCCGTAGGAAGACATAATGATGTTATGTGAAGGAAGAAAAAAACAAGTTTTTTTTATGAGGTTAGAAGAAACCGGGGGCGTCCAACAAGACCACGATGAGACGGGACTGGAGCGAGAGAATCAACAAAGAGTAGTCTGAAGAAAGTAACACAACCTTCAAAGACGAGGGGATAGAGGGAGGAGAAAGAGAGGAAGGAGAGAAAAAGACACACAGAGAGAGTGAGGGAGAAAGGATGAAGCAGAAGATGGAAGGAAGAAAGAAAAAGGGAAGCGACGGGCGGGAAGCAAGCGAAGAAAAGAAAAGAAAAGCAAAAACCGGCGGAGGCAAACACTCGCCCGTTGCGGCTTAGCGCAGGGGATTTGGCGCAGAAAATGCGTTGAAGCTGCATGCTGATTGGCCCCCGCCGCCACCGCTGATTAAGGCGGAAGGCGATGGTGTTTCCACTTTCGACTTTTTGTTAGTCTAGATTGCGAAGAGAGAGCAGGACGGTCAGATCTTTTCATGGCCAGCTATAAGCATATTGGGGTCATATATGCAGTCGATGTCATTGTACATAGTCTATAAATCCTATCTTAACTTGGCCTGCCCTGCATTTTGCCTCATCTGAGTAGCTGCTTGGTTTCCCTTCTCCCTACAAATGTTTGCCACCCAGTCCCATGTCCCAGAAGCTAATCTCCAACTCTGTCGCTCGTATGAAGATCTTGATCAATTCTTCCACTCGACTGGGCGAAACCTGTCGCATATGCGTCTCAAGTAGTTCTAAGCTGGTGTTAGCCATTTCCATTGCCGTTGTAGGCTGTCATCTGCTCAAGCGGAGCCTCACCAGATCCTAAGCGCACGGCTTCGGTGTAGTCCTCCGCCACATAGTTCTCAATCCACTTCCAGTACCGGTTGCCCTCGCGGAGAGACTCCTTGTCGCTGTACAACCTCTGTGCAATTGCCCCGTATCCGAGTAAGCAGGGTGCAAGGGCCACCTGCAATGCAAGCCAATCCTGTGATTGTCCGATATCAAGGATATACCGGCCGTATGCGGTGCATGCTGGTTAAGGACAATGGATTGTCAGCGAACCTGCCTATGTAATCACAAATGAACAACTTGAAAGCTGTCACTCACCAATGGTTTCCGGGGTGCTCTCCATTTGCTCTTTCGAAAGGCCAAAGGACGCACAGTAATCGAGGTGCAACGCGGTCTCACGTTGGATGTGAAGAACAATCTTGGCTGACTATAATGAGATCACACCGTCAGCTCGTTGCATCGCATGTCAATTCAGTAGAACTATACATACCGCAGCAATGGACTCCATGTCTCCAGCTTTGTATGAAGCTAGGGCGTTGCTCCGGGCAAATTGCACCTAAATTGAGAGTCAGCAAGCCACGTTCACAGAACTAATCACGAAATTCCTACCAAGTAAAGATAGTCTTGCACGAGATATGACTTGAATCTTTCCTCTGAAAGTGTGCCATCTCCCATCCTCTTGACAAACTCGTGCTCGGTGAAACGCTTCCACGCTGGTTGGACGTCAGGACGGTCTAGAGCATATTCTACAAAATGTCCGCTGTAAAACATTATTAGCAGAGCGAGCCATCCCTCGATCATCAAGACACTCACGGAGAAAATGGTAGACAGTAAAAGGAATGAAAGTGATTAATCGGTCCACTGCCCTTTCCGAGATCAATGCTAGTCTTGATACCTGCCTCAACAAAACGAACCGCGCTCTGAACTGCCCGCCTCATATCCTTACCATGGGCGAGATTGGCCGATATGGCCGAGGCAAGTGAGCAGCCAGTGCCGTGAGTATTCTTCGATATCAGATAGTCAGTCTCAAACAAGGTAATGTCTTCTCCATCGAAAAACACATCAATAACCTTCGAGGCTTGTTCATGATTCTGCGCGGTCCGGTTATCACCGGTGAGCGGCAAATGTCCGCCCTTGAGCAGGACACCCTTGGAACCCAAGGAGCAGACCTGCTTCGCGAGTTGGATGAGACCAGGGAGATCTGTCGGCTCTGGGACGTCCACACCGGCATCTTTCAGTAGCAGCACGGCTTCGGGAATGTTGGGGGTGAGAACAGTTGTCAAGGGAAGAAGCTTTGTGCGCAGACCTTTAATGGCTGCTTCAGGTAATAGACGTGACCCACTAGTAGAGACCATAACCTGTTAATTCTCGAGTCAGAAATAGAAGATTTTTTCAATCGGTCACCACGTAACACAGGGCAAGGCTACCGGATCCAGCACCACCGCAGGCACTTGGTGCACGGTCAATGCTTCAGCAATGACATCGATGGTCTCTGCAGAAGAAAGCATCCCTATCACCCTGTCAGTCATCGAGAGGAAGGCTTAGAAGAATGAATGCTCATACCCAACTTAACAACATCCGCGCCAACATCTTCCAGGCCGGCATTGATCTGCTTTTTCACGAACTCTGCGGGGACAACAAAGATGTCTTGCACGCCCAAAGTGTTCTGGGCTGTGAGACCAGTCGTGGCCGTAAGAGCATAGCAGCCATGTGCAGCCAGGACCCTCTGGTCCGCTTCCAGACCCCTAAACCCCGCGGAAATGCATTAGCTTGACAGGTCTAAAACTGGGAGTGTCCATGCTCAAACATACGCGCCACCGGAGCTGTCTGATCCCGCAATGACCAAAACCCGCGCGACTGACATGACGGCGGTCACTAGGGGAATTCCTGGAATGTCTAAAGGAATCAATTGAGGAAGACCAGGTCGCCAGAAGTCAGGGAAAACAAAGAGCGAGCATGTGAAGGGCGAAGTTGATGGCGGGAGACAGCGGCGGGCAGAGAAAGTGCCGGTCTTGATTGGCGGGGGTGCGGGGCTTTCCCGATTAGGCAATCCATATCTCGAGAAAATCCCAGTACAATTGTCATTCATGCCTATTAATTCTCATCCCATCATCTAGAACAAAACAATGCCCGCTATTCACATTGATGACCATGTCCCAAATCCGAACCACCCAAATAAAAGCTATATACAAAACAGAAGAACCCAATACTACTCAATCATGGCAGCATGAAGCGGAACAGACTGTCCATTTCAACCCATTGCCGGCCGCACTTCTTCAAATATGCGTCCACAACGCCTTTGATGGTTCCAAACCGTATGCGGTTGAACTCTGCCAGGGCCGTCACACTGTCCTTCTTTTCCCCAGTGGGCTCCTTCTCCGCCGCTTTACGAGCCTTGTCCACGTCCCAAAGTCCTGCGAAGTAAAGTAATTGGTTATACATCTGTTTCTCCGAGTACTCGTATGTCATCCGACCAAGACAGCCCTCAGCGTGACCCCGGGGTCCAAGACACCGGTGTCCATATACGCTGATCTGTCTAGTCCGGTTGCCGCAGGCCGTGTCGTCACAGACGAGCCAGCCCTCATAGTACTTCGATGTCTGTGCACGAATTTGTGACTCTAACTGGGCAACAATCGTCAAGACAGAGAATGTCTTCTGACAAGCCTGGTTGGGGCAAACGACACCATTGGCAGTGCACATGTGGGTGGACTGCGCGAGTCCTTCGAAGACCGACTTCTCCTTGCAGAACCGGCAGGTAAGCGTAAGCCGGGTAGCGTTCTCAAACCGCACAGAGTCTGGAATCTGCGACTCGAGCGGGAAGATATCGGCATTCTGTTGGTTGCTTCCACTGGAGCTATTGATCTGGTACTTGCGCACATCAAGCCCCAAGCACTCGGCTAGTCGAACGGCATCAGTGCCAGGAATAGGGGCACAGAGACGTTCGATCGGTGGGAAAATCTGCTTGAGAAGGTAGAATTCGATATCAGGCTTGAGTCCCGAATCCGGCTTCATCACATCCTGGGGTGTGTATGACCGCTTGGCTGGTGCGAGAGACGAGGTCTCGGCATCCCCGTTCGTTACAACATACGATATGACGTCGTTAGGGCGAACCGTTTTACCGCGGGCAAGCTCGCGCAAGGCCACCTGTACTGGGGGCATAGACTCCTTGTTAGGATATTCCTCGGGTCGCTTGGAGAGTTTCTAGATAAGTGAGTTAGTGTGTGTCAACCGAGTGTGCTTTGATTCAAACATACCGTGTAAATGACGTATTTTTGGACAGGGACGGAGTACTCGCGCATCTTCTCAGCCAACTCGCGTAGATAGTCATGGACTCTGTTGAGAACAACCTCCTGATCCTCACCGGAGAGAACTTCATTCAGCAGCTTCTGAGAGACCTCCTTCGACAACGAGCAGTATTCACGCCTCTTCATGTCCAGACCCTTGACTTCGAGCTTATCCACGTACTTGCCATCGACCTCGGTCATGTTGATGGCGGCATATTTCTTCTTGGCGTGAAGAAGAAGACGACGGAACACATTGTCAATGTCGATCTCCAGCAACCGGTAACGTTCGTTTACGGATTTCTTGAACTCATCACCGACCTTTAGCGCATCGCTGATCGTGTCCATATTCGTGTTGATCATGACCGAGTCAGTATCACCGTAGATGACTCTAAGCTGTTTGGACTCTGCCAGCTCCTTGGTGCTTCTGAGAATCTCACGACCCTTGAACGTGGTGAGCATGGCCAAGGGACGTGCGTAGAAGCGACTCTGTGTGTATCCCAAGCATCCGTACATGGAGTTAGCGGTCAGCTTGAAGGCCAGCTGTTTGGTGTCCCACAGAGCAAGCTGCTCAGGAGTGGCGCGTTTGTCCTTCATCAGCTTCTTAACTTCACGTCGACGACCGACTAAAGTAGCAATAAGCTTAGGCAGAATACCCTGCTCCTGATCGGAAGTAGGAACTTCGGGAACCTTTTCTTCCTTGTCATTATCCGCCTGGAGATGTCAGCTCATGTTCCATACAGTTTCCCTGGCATATGAACTCACAGTCGCTGTCCGCTCCACTGTTGTAAAGCAGATGTTGTACTCCTGGATGATACTGGGATACAAACTGTTGAAGTCCATCACTAGGATGAACTTGTCATAGAGACCCTTTTCGGGTTCAAAAACAAGACCACCCTTGTACTTGTCCTTCTTCTTCTTATCGGCCGACTCGTCATCATCACCTTCTTGCATCTTCTCTTCAGCTTTCAGTAGCTTAGAGGAGTACTTGTCGGGACAGATGTACTTGTTACGGTGGAATTCGTGGAGAAGAATGTACTCATTCCGCTCGGCACGCGTACCACTCAGCGTTCTTGCCCAAGAGTTACCAGCAATATTCGTGAGTACTTTGGTCAAGGGCAGCATCTGAAGCCGCAGCACCAAAGCAGCAATGAAATAGGTATCCGCATCACAGTGATTGACGAAGTTCATGAGGCCGTCCTTGGTAGTAGCCCATGTCTTCAGTGCTGCCTCGCAATCCAGTTCTTGTCTGGCATTCTCTTTTCCGAGGTAGAGGTCGCACATCTCCGTCAAACTCCAAGATTGGCATTTCATCATCAGAGACTTCCAATCATTAGTACGAAGTCGCCTTGAATCAGAAAAGTAAACCGGAGAAACTTACCTTGCCCATATCATTAGCAACATCACACATCAGTCTTCCAGCAATCAGATGCCTCTCGGCGAAGAAACCTCCACCTCTGTTAAAGTTCTTGGGCCAGTCGCCGCGCTTCAACCGTCCAAGGCGATGCCAACCAGGGGTCTTCTTCTCCCTCAATCTGCTGAGCAGAATGCTGAGGTCAACCTCCTGAAGCTGATGTCCCATCAGAACATCGGGATCCATCTTCTCGAACAACGCCAGGAACTTGCTGAGCAGAAACTGTTCGCTCTTCTCCAGCATGAATGTGCCCCTCTGCTTCCGCGTTTCGGCTTCAAAGTGCATCGGGTATGAAGAGCCTGCAGGCCGCATGACCGTGAAAGTCTTGCAGGGCAACCTCTCAGGCGGAGTGGTGTCCGTGAGGGAGACATTTTCATATACTCTTGCACTCGCCACGAGGATCTCCTGCTTGTTCTCTTTCACGTTGAGCTGGGTCCGGAAGGAGAGACTCATGAGCGTCAGAGGCGGCGCTTCCAGATTCTCAGAGTCAGGTACCGGAGAAATAAGCGCTGGCTTCGCTGCTTGGCATTCAAATTTGCACCAAGATGCATTGTTGACGGCAGTGAAATCGGCCTCTTCAATCTTGAGCCAACAAGGTCCCATGATGTTTTTCCAGAGAACAAACTGCTCGAACAATGATGTGTTTGTGCCGAATACATGCGAAAAGGTCTCGCCCTTCACATCCATTGGCAACGGAGATTTGTCATAAGGATAAAACAGCTTCAGGTATTCGGTCTCTTTCGGGACACCAGGCAATTCGAAAGCGTATTTGCGTGTGCAAGGCTTCATCTTATGCATCCCTACCTTCAGCCTGGACATCATCCCGTCGACTTCATGATAGACATCTTCCATGTCTACCTCTTCATCCGTGTCTCGCCCATTCTTGTGCCGATACTCTCGAGGAAGGAAATAGAGCTTGCGTAGGATATTATCGATCTTGACAAATGCACTGGCGTAAGAACCATTTTGCTTGTTCTTCACCTTTCCAAACAGGCAAAGACTGCCGTTGACTTCTGTAAAGTCCAGCCAGAACATGCGCAGACTTCCGTCCTCCTCGACGACATCCTGGGCGCGAAGCTTACCGAAGCTACGCATTTCCGACGACGCAGGGCTGCTGAGAACATTCAGCTTGCTCCTTACGTTATTCCAAGATGCGTCCACCTCTGGCATTGGCTTTGTAGGCGAGGAGCTAGCCAGAGGCGGAGTGCTCTCCCTCTTGAGTTTGGGCGGAGGCCGGCTTCCGGCCATGTTGACGCTGGTCGCCTTAGCGTCGTTCTGACCAGTGACTTCTGCGATCTCCATAATATCATTATCATCATCGTCAAACTCCTCGACCTTGACAGGTGTCGTGGTCGACTTCCTCTCTACCGCTTTGCTGATGGGAGACGATGGCATCGGGTCACTCATGGGAACGTCGTCATCATCCATGCCAGGAAGCGCGCCATCGTCGTCGTCGAAATTAACCTCTGATTGATCCTTGACCGGCGAGACAGGGTCACTGTTTTCGTCCCTCTTTATCGGCTTCTCTCTGCGTGTTCTATCGGCGAGCGGGGGTGACAAGATGCGAACTTTGCGACGAGCCTCAGTCTTGACTATATTCCTCGTAGGGACACGATGCGGGACCACGTTGGTATCGACTTCTCCGAGCAAATCGGCCATGAAAGCGTCGTCTTCTGCAGTAGCGACCGGCTGAACAACATATTAGAGAGCCATTCGTGCTCAATGGATGACTTCGATAACTTACCTTGGGCTTGGGAGCAGAGGGCGCAGCCCCACTGCTGAAATACTTTGAGATGCCATTATTGATCTTCTCCTGTCGTTGCTTTTCCTCCTCACGCTTTCTCTTCGCAGCCTTGCCCCGGGCAGGTAATCCGTCGTCCTCGCTCTCGCTGTCGCCGTAGTCTGCGGTGCGCTCGTTCCACACCTCGCGACCGTCGTCGGCATAACCTTCTCCATTATCGTCGACCACGAAGTCATCCTGATCAAGCCGGTTGCGGATAATCTTCTTGTAGCCCTCATCGTCAACCTCCTCGTAGATGTCGCCTTGTTCCTCAACTTCGTATGTCGACAGGCGTTTCTTTCCTGCGGCGCGAAGGGCGCGCAGCTCCGCCAATTTGGCGCGGGAAGCAGACATGGCGCACTGGTGGTCTTCTACCACAGATACTATGTGTCCATGAAAGTCTTCCTGTGGGTTGATCGGTTAAGGACCCGTAACGGGGTATAGGGAGTGTGAATTGGGGAAGGGGCTGATTGACGGTGCTGGTTGCTACTGTAACTCCGAAAGGCGGGCGTCGCGCGGAGGAGAAAGTAACGCGTGCGGGACGCGGTGAAGACGCGCCCTCCGCCAATCCCCGTTAAGTGGTTTGTTTGCCGATTTCAGTAAGCAGCCTAACACTACAGACGCATGAAAAGCCCTTGAGTTTCTACATGGAACATATGAAATGTTTCTTACTAGTTTCAACTTATCCAAGTATTTCTCAAAGATAGCGTTGTTCGCATTTACAATCTCTCAAATTCCACACTGCCAGTGGTCCTCATGAAATTACTTAGTAGTCCGGTGCCTAGATAGTACTCTGCCAATCAGTCCGACATCTGATCTGAATCTAGATCGCTATCCTCCTCTACTGCTTGTCAGCGCTTCCAATTGCAGTAGTACCAGCCAGTCAACTTACCCTGAGCCAAACCATAGTCGAATGTCCCATCTAGACTCACTTTCAGAGTCTCGCGGATTACATTTTGCGCTTCTTCGGTAAGAGTGCTATCGACTGCATTTAGGATAGCCAGGTTGAAGCCTCTGTTCTTTGGCCCCAATTGTGAAATGAAAGAGAGTATGCCGTCGGCGGTGAAGTTGCTGAAGGCGTGGATGGAAAGACTTTGGAGGCTTGGTAGATCCAGGAACGCAGACAGCGTTGTATCATCGAAGAATTCGCCGCTTATCCAAAGTCTCTCGAGATGAGGGAGCATATGTGCCATGTAAGCCACATGGTCTGTAGTAAAGCCGTCAGAAATATCCTTGAGTTCCAGCTCTCGGAGATTGCTGAGCTGGCTAATCACATCTGCAAGTATTTCGTTGCCCGGTGGAAACTCGCTCCCTTCGCCGCGAAGGTAAAGATTTTCCAAAGTTCGCTGGCTAGCCAGAGCCTCGTGGAAAAGACGGCTGTCCGCCATTGCGTACCCGGATAAAGATAGCGTTGTTAGACGGAGCCCTTCATGGGGTAGGACCTGCGATAACAGGTAAGAGTCGTCGACAAATCGTCTGAGTTCCAAGCGTTGCAAGGCCTTGCAACTGCATATCCATTCAGCAACTCGAGTGACAATTGTGTAAAAGTTTTCGTCTCGCGTAGCCGGTATCGAGTCAGTCAGTACCAGTACTTTCAAGGCTGGCGCTGCCGTTAGTGAGGGCAGTTCTGCGATTGTCTCGATGGTAAGACTCGTAAGCTTCAGCTCAGCTAGAGATTCCAAATGCAGCCCTAGTGATTTGATAGAACGAGGCCCCAGCTGAGAGTAGCTGAGTACTTCGAAGTACTCTAGCGTATTGGGGCGCAATTCGGTCAAAAATTGTTCAGAGTCAGCCTCCGCGTTTCTTGGTGGATCATTCTTCCTGTTCTATATGTAAGCATCACAGGTCAACTCTCGCTGCAGAGACATACCACCCATATAATGTAAGCTGTTTAAAATCAGGAGAGTGGTGGCGGATCTTATCGCCAGCATGTTGGCTTAGTGCATCCCCGGACCATATTGTCAGGGACTTCAGCAAGGGTAACCCTTCGATCCATGCAGAGAGGGTTTCCGGTGGTACTAGAGAGCGATCAGACATCTCTGGACCGACTAAGGGAGTTCATGGAGCCTAGATGGAGACTACCGTTACAAGACATTCCTCGTATTGACCTAGTCTTCTGGATAATTGCTTTCAGATGTCAGCACCGAGGAACTACGACGAAATAGTAACGCATCAGATTAGCCGAAAAGGATGAGAGACCAACCTGTGCCAATCTTCACCATGACCCAATCATTGTCAGGATAGGCTTTTGACGAACGGAGTCGTTTGGATCCCTTGACTTCGTAGTCGTGGGACACCATTTCCAACAGCTCCGGGGTAAAGAAATCACTAGAAATGTCAAACAGCGAATGACATGTAGTTGGTAGTGGAAACATACTCTTTCATCGTCTTCGTAAATCGCGGTTCCTTAAGGAGGTCCCCGAAGTCATCCAAATCAAGATAGCGGATATAGCTATAGTACGGGAGGTAGGTTTGGTCCAAAGTAGACAGGATAACAGAACGCCATAATAGGGCCCATTTTCGTATGACTGGATCCTGTTCGCCTTTGGAAGACCAAACGGTGGCTACTCTCCGAGACCTGAACTGCTCGTCTTCTGTACCTCCGCCCCTCACTGGCGAAGTATCACATAACCTGTCATCATCAGCATCCACCACCAACGCGCCATTGCATCAATATATAAAGACTTACTTGTATAATACCGCCAAGGAATGCTCAGTAAAGCATTTTGAAGAAATTGCGCATTGAAAAAGGCTGTTGTAATCCTTCTCATCGCCCAGGATATCCAAGATCATATAGAGTACGTCACCGGCTAACGCGAAGGCCATCTTCACGAGACCAGGAAACTGACCACTCCAAAATAGATAGCACAACAACCAACCAAATTACTCTGTTAAAACTCTGCCTCTAGCGTCTCAAATACAGCATCACGAGGATTGGTGATCAGTGGTATCCTGGGAGCTGACTGAGGAAGCAAGGCGCCTCCCGTACAGTCCCGCTTAGGTAAGCTCGCGTCGTGTTTGCGATCTGCCGTGACCGACTGACAGGATCCCAATAAGATCCAAGAGCCACATTGAGAGTTATACGAGGGAGTCACTGCAGATAAGCTTGATATATCAAGGGTCTCTATAGAGTTGCTTACAGCTGGATATGCTGTTCTTGTCATAAACGAACATGACAACTCTCTCATTCTCGCTCGCCCCGCAGGCGATATACCAACTACATGATGCTTTAATGTGTCTGGCAAAATTCGACGATAGTGTGGCAATAGAAGCTGAAATTGACCTGGTAAGCTTATGGCTTATTTTAAGAAGGCTGGAAATAAGCTAACGTGTTACCAAGCTCCGTTTAAGCGTCCTCAATTCAACCAAGACGGCTTACTCTGCATTTATCTTCGAGGCGGATAGTTTTTTTGAATCCTACTCGTTTGGTAGAGTGAGGAATGGCAGTTCGTCTAGGACTGCTCATCCGGAAAAATTCAGCTGTCAGGTGTTGATCAAGGTGGGAACCTACGTACTATGTAGTCTCGGCTTTCGGCTGACATACCACAGGCCCTCCTATCGGCCTTCAAAGCGAAGACGAGTGGACGTGACAAGGACACTTCTGTCGAACGGTGCGAGGTCGAGCTCCAGGAAGATCTAGATGAAAGCGAGTGCCGACTCGTTATCAGATTGATATGTGGACTTGGTAAGGCTCGGCCAACCCAATCCAGGCTGATATGTGGCCCCAGCTCACAGTCCTCCCAGGCGTCATCAAGCTCTACAAACTTACATATGAACCTGTCCATGTACAACATGCCATATTCGACAGGTCCAAAGCGACAAACGAATGGAGCATCGAACCAAAGTACCTGAAGGAGATAACAGATCATTTCGGTCCCTCAGCGGAGCATCTAGATATCTACTCCGAGCAAGGCAAGGCCGTCTTCACCAGCTTCACCACGAAAAGCTCAGACGGAAAAGGTAATGCTACAAGACCCTTTCTATGAACTACCTCCATACTCACAGTCTGTCACAGAAATCCTTCGCCAGCCGGTGCACACCTCCGTAGCTATTGAGAAAAGGGACTTCGATTACTATTTAGCGGAAGACCATCTTCACGTGGCCATCCACATGAAAGACTTCAAGGCGGCAATAGCACATGCTGAGACAGCAAATGCAAAGATCACCGCCCGGTTCACCCGTCCATCTCGTCCCCTGCAATTCGCCTACGAATCCGAGGGCGTCAAAACCGAGTTCACGCTGATGACTAGAGGGGACTCACCCGGAGAGGACGCCCCAGGCTCCTCTCGAGCAGCGCCCCAGCTATCCGCACGTCAAACTCCTGCACCTGTGCAGATAAGTCACAGGAACACGGCTCCAGAGACCGCACAGATACCTCCTCCCCGCAGTCGGTCGATTCGGCCACTCACTGGGACTTCTACCCGGGCTTCGCAATCCAATACCGAGACCCAACAACCGCCGCCATCAATGGAGTTCGACAGTCTGTTCGTTCCAGCGGATGACGACAGGCAATGGGACGTGCCAAATGATGAGGATGAAGGTCCGGTCGAGGACGAGCTCGGCTGGGATGCCACTGGAGAGCAGGTATGGCTCAATCCGCCGTCTGCTTCAAACCTCTTACTGACAAACCCCAACAGACAAGCACAGGCCCTGGGCTACGCGATATCGAACCCCGAATGGCACAGACGAGCCATGAGGAGGAAGAGATGGGCATCCCGCCCACTCAGCGCATGTCCCAGGTAAGTCGAGCGCGCTCGCATCTATTGATCGTGCTGACAACCCGTAGCTGCACGGCATTGGCCTCTTCGACTGAACAGTCACCCTACACCAGACCATAAAGAGGACCTCCTCAACAGAACTCTCTCCGCCATCAATCCCGAGTAATTACCCAACTCGTGGCACAACCTGCACCCAACCCAACAACCTCCCCGACCCCATCCGGCAAAGGAATCTGGCAACACACCCCCTTCACATTCCCCTGCGCATCCGTCTCAGGACCACAATTACCATGCTCTCCCCAACCACAAGCCACGACCGTCCTCCCATCCACAAGACCAAGCACATGTTCACTCCCCACAGCCAACCCCTTCACCACCCCCATCTCCCGCGGCGGCAACTGCCCCCGATCATCCCTCCCCCAACACACAACCCTCCCATCATAACAATGTACATAAACCCCATGCCAACTCGTCTGTATACCCTGAAAACAGCCCACAGGCTCCTTCCCCCCAGACATAACCCCCCACTTATCCCCAGGCGACCCCAGCACAACAAACTGCCCCTTCTCTTTATCCCCAACCACAACCGTAAACTCCCTCCCACACGCCGCCCCCGTCGCCCGGAACCCTATCTCCTCCTCGTCGACCCTAATACGGTCCCAAGCAATCTTGATTTCTTTCCCCTTAGCACCTAACTGACCTTTCCTCCCTCCTCCCCACCCATACACCTGACCTCCCTCCAACACAACAACCGTATGTCCCATCCCACTCGCTATACTGATGACTTTCTCCTCGAACTCAATGTACCCAACCCCCTCTTTCAAACTGGTCTTCCCCTCCCCAACCCCCAATTCCCCCCTCCCCCCGGTTCCTAGGACATACACTTTCCTCCCAGCTACCAGGAACGTCGCTTCCCATGTAGCTGACACGTCTGTAAATCTCTCCTCTCCCTCCTTGCCCATATCACCATCACCACCACCACCACCATCACCATCGGAAGTATTCACAACAACCCGCCGAAACCTCACCACCTCCCCATCCCCATCCCCACTCCCCGCAGGTAATCTGCCCCCGCACCGCCCATCCTCATTACACCCCGCCGCATATACCCTCCCATCGGAGAACAATACAAGGGTGTGGTTCCCGCCGGCTGCGATGCGGGATATCGTTGGTGTGTTTGAGGAGGATGAGGAAGCGGTGCGGTGGTATTGCTCATCATCGAAAAGACATTTCGTCGGGACGGAGACGTCTTCTGTGTGCGAGAGGCCGAGTTGGCCGGAGCCGTTGGAGCCGAAGGCGTAGAGGGGCATGATGCTTTTTCCCTTTTTCTTGGTGGAGGTGGGGTGGGGTGTCTGTGTTTGTTTCTGTGTTGGGAGGATCAATTGGTGAAGAATGTTTCGAGATAGTTAGGTCTGGAGGGTGAGGGGATGATTATAAAGTAGATTGAGTGGTTATATTGTAAAGTAGGACATATAGTAAGATTATGGAATATGGGAGAATATGCGTTTGAGTTGATGTGTTGATGCGATGTGAGGGGAAAAGGATGCGAGTTACGACACCGCTTTTCTTATCGCCTGCCCTTTTCGGTACAATGTAGGAGGGTTGGTGGACTGTCCGGCCGGCAGAATGCATGCGTGCGGGGCGGGGCGCGTCGCGTTGCGTTGCGCTGGCAGGGGCGATGCATGGTTGGACATCTCGGTAGGTGTCACGATCGTGATGTAGGTAGGTTACATGAGATCATACTACGCGTTGTACCATGGGACGTTTTGATTGGGTGGATGAATATATGGAGCGATGTTGTATGTAGAGAATCCCATATCATTGAGTGAACCATCACTTCATGGGTATATATATTAATCAAGTCTATATACTAACGAGTACCATGTATGTACCTGGGTATTGAGTGCAAGACGAAAGGAATGAAGGCATCTCTCGCTCGACAGCTGACAAGGAAAAAACAATGTACTAAGAATGCAAAAATGGAATGCGTGTCATCATCATCCAAAATCTGACGTGCCACATCCAATCAATCACACATGCTCGCTTTCCAAAATGAACACCCAAAACGAAAGAAAAGAAGAACGCCATTTATAGTTCGGACTTTTCGTTATATGACTCCGTAGACGAATCTTGCGCCGCGGGAGGCAGCGCGAAATTATCCGTCTTGGTGGCAGTCTGCTCCATCGGGCGGAACATGGGACTGGTGCGGTGGAAGTAGGCATGGACATGGCCCTCCAGGAGGGAGTCATCCGTGTCCTGCACGAAGTCTTCGCCCTTCTCGTTCTCGGAGATCTTGGCGGTCATGGCGGCCTCCCACTCGGCACGGTACTCCTCAACCTTGTGCTTGTAGTCGAGCTCAGCGTTGTAGTTCTTTCCGACGCCAGTCAAACGCTCCCAGAGAGAAAGGTGCTTGGAGTGGATAGCAGGACCATGGTATTCCTGCTCGCGACCGTCGCGGATGTACTGCCAGCGACGCTCCTGCTCCTTCAGATCAAGACCAGTGGTATCCGGCAGGAACAACAGAGTCAAGACCATACCACCAAGACCGAACCAAGGGACAACGTAGAACTTGGTCTGGGTGTCGATGTAGTTGTACAAGACGGAAGCCAGGAGTGCACCGCTCTTACCGCAAGCGGCGGAGAGACCGTGGGCTGTCGCACGAATGGGAGTCGGGAACACCTCAGCAGCCACGAGGAAAGTGACAGAGTTGGGTCCAAACTGGTTGAAGAAAGAACTCAAAAAGTACATCGCCTGGAAAGCGTGGATGTTCTCAGGCCGGGTGTAGTACTCATAGTGGAAAGCAGGGACGACGAAGAGGATGAAGCACATGAGGAAACCGATCATCTGCATCCACTTACGACCGTAGAGCTTGTTGTCGACAAGGAAAGAAGCACAGTAGTAACCAGCCAATGACACACCGATGTTGCACAAACTCCAAAGCCATGTTGGCATGATAGAGTTGCTTCCAGGGCTAAGCACCTTGATAAATTCGGAACTGAAAAGCTTGTTGCCGTAGAAGAAGACATCGTTGGCGAACCAGCCACCGGCAGTAGCGATAATGCGGAAACCGAAATAACGGAAAGTCAGCTTCAAGGAGTTGACATCGTATCCAGTAACAGAAGCCTTCTTCTTAGCCGCAGCAAGCTGCTTGCTGGCAGCCTTCATGTGGTAGGCACGGTAGTACACCAGCCACAAGGTGCCGACGGCGGGAATGGCGAAAGAAATGCGGTAGGTCCACTGGGTAGCCACCGAAGAGTAAGGCGGGTTACCGCTACCGTGGTGGAAGATGAGCAGCAGAATGATCAGGATGGCCTGGTTGAAGAATTGACCCCAACCCTGCATCAAGAAAGCACTGGTGACCTTGCGACCACGGTGGAGGCGGTCCTCCTTGGTCGAGACCTTTCCGGAGCCGACAGCGTTTTCCATACCGCTAGTGGCAGTCATGGGATATTCACCCCCAACACCAATACCGTAGACGAACAATGACCAAGCGTAGCAAATGACCCAGCCGTTCTCAGTGACACCCCAAGCGGCGGTAAGCATCACCAAACCCAGCAACATGATTGCAGCATCCTGAATAAGACCCCAGCGACGACCGAGCCTGATATCAATTAGCTATGATTGCCGCGATGCATTCTCCGGGGATCGAGAACTTACCAATCACCGACAATTCCGACCAAGATCTGGCCGAAGATGATACCGACAATCTCGAGATAGTCGACCGCGTTGATCCATTGTTTGTTGCAAATCGTATGATCATCCCAGCAGGACTTGAAGGAGGCCTCAAACAAGGGTTTGATGTTTCCGATGGAGAACAGAACATAACTAAAGAGGGATAATGTGAGCACAACGCGTTTTCGGCCGGTGACTAGACCAATACGTACCCCTCGAGACCCAGACCAGCACCAGGAAGAACCATATTTCGGAAATAGTACGAGATGGGCGAGAGAGGATCTTCCTTTGTCATCTGCCAGATCGAACTGAGTTCCCGCTTGGCTTCTGCGGCGTCGTAGGAACCGACGAACTTGATCCGCTTCAGGAGCGGCAAGTCGGCCCAATACGTGCCATCGGGAGTATAGCTGTCGTCAGGGCGAATGAGGGCGTCAAAAGCGCCCTTCTCGTGAATATCCATATCCTCAAGAGGGTTATGGGTTCCCGACATGTCGGGCCCATGAGGAGCGCGTAGGCCGAAGTCCGTCATGGTGGCGTCGTCGAAGGACCAGTCGAAAAGTGGTCCGACAGTCCGGGAAATTGACGACAGAGAGGGGTGGACGCGAGAAAGCTTGAGACGTCCGTTGAGGGTATTCTCCTAAGAGAGGAGAGGAGGAGGACGAGAGAGCAAGCTCGGATTGAACGTGATGAAGGCGTCACACACGATGCGGGCCAAGTCGGACAACGGCCAGCCGTCGAAACTTATATTCGGAGGGTGACGGCAAAAGGAAAATCTCTGGGCAGGCGTGGACCAGAACCAGCCCACCAGCGTGCTCCAGGCACATGTCCGAATGGTGGAACGTGATAAGCCAAAAGCAGGTCTGGGTAGCGGAGAAGATCCAACGTACTACTTAGTGTGGCGGGTTCCACTGGGCCTCCGGAGTCGAGGCTGCCGTGTCAGTGGTGAATGGCAGGCAACTCTGCCCCATTTTGCCCAGAACCACCTTCTGGTGCAGGGCCAAGCAACCCTAGAAGCGGGTGAAACTTCCCACGAGCCTCGAAAGCATAATTTTAGTTTCGCTTTTTTTTTTTTTCTTTTTACACTGTGTGTGCCGGGGTTCTGTTCATTCTCACAACAGCCCAACACAACAGCACACTGGGGGGATGGTAACACTGCAGAACGCAGAGGTAAGCTTCTTCTTCAGGGTCTGAACACCCACCACGAGCACAACATCATTCTGTCTCTCCTTACTTGCAGTCTTGGAGATGGATCTCGTGGTTTATTGCCTAATTGACATTAGTCCATGACTGCATCTCCAATGGATACAGCACTTTTTTAAAGCAGCCCACATCGGGTCGAGTGGCGGCGGAACTAAAGTAGAAGAGATACTTTAGTTTTAGTGCGATGATTAATGGAAAGTCGGCGGGGATCTTCCGGACGCGAACTTGTGCCGCCGGCCAATCAACGGCGCACGTGGTGGCAGAATTCCCCCAAATCCCGCCGGATCGTCTGATACCGCCTTCTAGAATGAAAGACCCTCATCCCCACCCGCACCAATCAGAGCACAGCTGGTCCGCATTCGGTTGACGGGGTGGCAGCGAACGCATAAGCGGGCATAAGCTGGTCTTTCTCTCCACGCTGGCTGGCTACCCAGAAGGGAAGGAGGCCAAGTGAGCATTGCGGTCACAGCCAACAACTCATTCAATTTCTACGCTACACACGGCTAATCCTGCGGAGAAACCGCTTTGCTTCATGATCATGCGGTGGGGGAAACTTTTTTTGGCTGACATGGAGAAAGAGGGGTTCCTATCATTGACGGTTGTGAACCTCACACGACCACTAACTAAAGCGCACGTCCCATTCGGCCGCTTTCTCCCCATACTCACCATTAAGTTCGTGACTTGTCAGCCTCTCCCTTGCATAATCTATATGCTGACAGATCTCTCGAGTCAAACTTGCATAGTATCGCAAATTTTGTTCCATCCGTTTTCGAATTGACACTTAAGGGGGAAGGGATGCTCCAGTCGACACAGCCTCACCATGTATTATTGTGACGGACGGACGGACGTCTGTCATGGCCGATCTAGATACCACCTACGTACCCTTGCTGGATGTTGGTGCGGCAGAGACATGGAGGATGCATATCGAATCCTAGTCTACTAGCCGATCTCCTAAGATTAGTTGCTTAAAACCGAGGGGATCTTGGCGCTTAGACACAACCATCAGCCAGTGGGAGTGCGTCTAGCGATCACGTTGCGGGACACCGTGCTGTTGCTTGTCGATAACGACCGGCCCGGTGTTGCCAACCTACCACATCTTTTGAAACTCTAATCAGCGCCTACTCTGGTACCCGGGCATACTCGTCACCAATCTGTCAACTTCCACTGTATGCCGAATAGTGGCTCCATATGGTCCAGGCGTGTCAGTGGTGGACGGACGTGTCGGATGGTATCCCACATGGTCGCTGAATATGCCGTATCTATCCCTTGCGGGAATGATCTCTGGTACGTGGCTGTATGTCGACCACGAGAAACGTGGGTCATTTTTGCTCCTAGACACTGATGGAATGCTATGGCTGACTGCTGGTCAGATCACCTCCTTTCATCTGCTGTGTTCCAGCGGACATATCCGATGCCAGCTCGTGTGTCGCTCCCAGGCAACGATGCTAGACACCACCGAGTCAAGGTGTCTGTCACTCGGCCCCGGACTTTCCTACTCGGGATGCTGATACTGTGTTCAGGGGAGCCAATAACATTCGAGCATCGAGCCCGTGCCTGCTTGGAGTCTTCTCGATGGCAGCAGCATCCCATATACCACCATCCTCCTACTATTGCTCTTGTCTTGGCACGACATCACTGCATCATATCCTGAGCCTTGCGAAATAGTTTTGCTGATCCAAATCAAAGGCTGCCCTTGGTTCTATTGATCCTGCAATCTCTGCTCGTCTGGATTGCCTCTAGCTACTGCAGGGTCCGTTGGTGGCGCTCAAGTTGGCCGATTGCCGTGATCCTTCATCATTAAGCGTTGGCGAAGCAAGCTAGGAGCCACGGTTGGCCATGATGGTGCGCCGAGGCACCCAGGATTGATTCAAGGCCTCATCTGGTTCGTCGACCCAATCTACCCATTGCGAGACCCCTTATCGAGGACGCGCGGAATGGTGGTCAGACACTGCCCCTTTTGTCAGAGCGGTCAATGTTTTCCAGATGCCAGTCAAATGACACAGCTCTTAGCCTTCTCTTAGAGGATATAGCCTGGATTACGAAAGATTGAGCGAGTAGCTCATGGCATCCTGAATTGACCCCTCGCTGGATTTCAGTACTGAGGCATCAAGTAGATAGGTGGCATGAAGTAGTTGCTGAAGGCACTTTGGCCTATCCCTAGCAACGATACCTGACATCAGACTCATGTTGGTCAGCCTGCATATGGGTTGTATCCTTGCTAGCTTCTGGCTCATTCTACGGGTATTCTTGCGCTCTTCCGAGAACCGCGTGTGCATAATGGGACCATGGATGCAGGTAAATATGCCAATGCTGCATCTACTACTGCGCACTTATCTTGCACTAAGCCTGGTGCCGGGCACTGCAAAGCAACCTACATTGGCCTCGAGCCCCTCGCCTAATGCAAGGTAGCCCTATCGGGCATCTCAGCTACGGACACGCTGTTTCCGGGTCTCTTTTACTGGCATCCCACGCCCGAATCAACCAGCTGACTCTGAAGGTTTGCCTTGATCCTGTCAATTGCCTTGTTAATGCAATGTACCGAGCCAGCCGCTTCCGAATGGAGGTAGAATTTCTCTTACGTTAACAAGCATTGACAAGCACCAACAAGAACAGAGTAGAAGTGTCCCTTGCATGAGCGGCTCTGGTCGCCGTGTTCGATCATCCGACTCATGTCAAATTTGCCTATCTTTTACTGCGGCTTCTGCGGAATTTGTGAATGCCAGCCAGGGCAATGCGCTCACGCAGAGTACAATCCTGCCGGCCGGCCGCACAGCTGCCTAAACGGGATTCCAGGTGCTTATGGCTGTGTTTAGTATCCAGTGCGATATGACCATCAATCTGCTTCTGATTATTGTCTAGGCTTACTGTGTAAGTTCTAATTCAGCAGGAATAAACTAACAGAGCATTCCATCGCAAACCCGAAACAACGGGCGTACCACCCCTGCGACCAATAGCTCAATTCCATGCAGTGAGGTGCGCCTTTGACCAGACTGCTATCAACCCTGATGCTGTTCTCGAATGCTGCCGTGCAGCTTCTGATTTCCTCCTCATTTGCCTCAAAGAAGACATCGTTTTCCACGAGTGCGAACATAACGGGTGCTGCGACATGCTTCGCCCAATTGTCTCGCCATGTGGGAAGCCAAATAGTTGGATACTGCTGTAACTCCACAACAGGAGTTGCTGTATTCAGGCGGTCACTGTGAGCTAGAACTTCTGGGCTACAGGTCCCTGGCTTAAACATCATTCCATCCTTGACATCCACAGGCATCGCAACATGATCCGAGCCGACCTTCTCATACACGGGTGGAGGAGAATTATTCGCCGATGGAGACACCTTGTCACCCATTCCGCTCACAATCAAACCACCGAGCGGATATCGTGGCTTCTCATCCTGTGCATGCATCGCTGCAGCGACGACACCTCCCATTACACCAAGGCTATGGCACAAAAGGACAATGCAGTTGCACCCGTTGCCGAATTCAGACCATAATGCAGGGAGGATATGGCTATGCAACCAGCGCCCAGTTTCTTGATTGAAGTTCGATCCCTCCGGGACGGGCAGAAAGGAGCTAGTTCCACCAACGCAGGGTCGGTCAATAGATACGAACGGGATGCCGAAAGCAATACTTGCTCTGGAGGCGGAATAGTCTGGCGTGGCATCAAAATAATGGCAGTCGTAAGTCCCGCCGTGCAAGGCGACAATCAATGGACGATGGCGAGGAGATGCGGCTGGATCTGGGATAGAGTGTATGCCCGCCACCGTGGCATTGTTCGGTAGGGCGATTGTGAACGACTGCATTGCAGGCTATACCGGTGGACTCGTAGACGACGCGTTATGTCGAATGTACGAATGGCGAAATATGAACAAGTTCAGGAGTAATTCGAATGAACCACTCAATGTTGGATCCGATCACAACTTGACTACAGTCCCGTGGGAAGTTTTCTTCCAAATATACCCAGGACTATGCACGCGCAACTTTCCTGATTTCCTTGATCAACCTGGTCAGGTGCCGCGGGACCCGATCGGGTGGGTCAGATCTTTTCTATTACAGGAACGGTATGCATACTACCAAGATATCTATCTACCAATTGCTTCACCAACATCGGCAATCAAGGGTCTACAATGACTTGATCTCCTGTAAAGTGTATGCTCGAGTAGCCGAGTTTGTGGCGAAGACCCACCCGATTCGGGTATAGGCCTTAACTCCGGGCACGTCCGTCGGATGATATCGTCGTTGCACGGAGATAGGATTGAATGGATTACAGTGGGAGGGTAGGAAAATACATTCTGTGGGCGAGATTAGGGGTCGTGGAGTCGATGCTGATATTCATCCGGTGGCAGGGGTATTGGAAACGAGCGGAGTGCCATATTTATATATATCTCTGTGGCCTGCAGGGGAGCATTACCTACATAGCTGCTACATGCATTGAGGCGGCTGCTTTAGGTTTAGAGAATATAGCTTAACTTACTATAGATCTCTGTTCGGATGGGTAATACGTACTAGCAGGAAGGATGATTATTATGATCATACCCTGATATCGGGTTATGGTTACTATTTTAGTAGCCAGGCTGAATACGATACGTTTCGGACATATAAAATTAGAGTTCTGCAATCAATCACTTAGTAGCTGATGGGATAAGATAAGAGATTATCAGATGCCATACCCGGATCTTGTTCTGCAGTGCCCCAGCAATTACTCAAAATCTCTCGACATGTCACTACACCCAATGAATACCCTGTTGATACTTCAATCTACACCCTTCCCCAAGCAATATACCTCTTCACCTACTCATCTATTGAATCCCCTGATTCACCCACGTAGCTCTGATTCTGACTATATAAACCTCACCTCTCCCTGTGGACTTCAACTTCTTTCCTTCCTCTCTACTCCTCCTTCTCTATCAGCGTTAGTCCTGGCTTTCTTATGATATCTTCTATCTTATATAATAAGTATCTCATATAACCGGGTATTATACCAATACAACTATCAACAACATATCATCATAGAAGAACATATAATATGATATCAATAAGATAAACCCTACCAGCCAAAACCATGACAGACACACCAAAGCACCTAGTGGTACTCGGAATCGCAGTACTACAAGAATGAAACTTCCAGAAAGTAATACCCCTCAAACCCACCTACCATCGAAATACATCTGGTAAATTCGCCCACTCATAATGCATCAGCGCTATTTTCCCCCTGCAAAGTACAAGTGGAACCAACCAATCAGATAGATAGAAAAATTAGCTCTCACCAGGTTTCATCTATCATCTATCTCGAGTGAGAGCATCCAATGCCAACCTGGCCATTTGGATAGAAGATGCAAGGGAGTGAATTATAAGCCTTATTGAAAGAAAAGGTCCGACATTCCAAAAAGGACCCAGAAATGGTCGACCCACTAAACCTATTATCTACATAAGCAACGCTCTTTATCGGACTGACGTCTTCGTTGAGGATAAACGCCACAAGTTGCTCTGTACGAGATTCAGCATGGAGTGCCTTAGGCCCGGCTACACCTTTTACAGCTATACATTAATTAGCAGAGGATGATTTACCTGCGATGAGAACTCTAACAAATTCGTTGAGTCGAAGTGGACATTTACAAGGACGCAGCTTTGCTTGAATGGCTACCAAGAAATTGCGTAATCTGCTGATAACTGCAACGCTCGTCGTATAGGCGAATAGCTTGATACGCTACGTCCTCCCATCGAAGACGGGATCCTTTATTTGCACAATAATATTCGCACAGATACAGTACGGATGGACGTAGGGTTACATGCTTCTCGAATAAATTCTATACTGAGTAGCTGGAAGGAGTAATGCTCAGATGAATATGAAGCCTTGATCAAAACTCGTCTAGATGCAACCCTGATGAGACGTGTTGCTCAAATCACATAATAATGTATGAAAATGATACTACCAGTCCCAGCAAGTTTCAGTACATCGACTTTCCGAAGCTAGGCTAGCCTGTGTGTTCAGACCCGAGATGGAGTACGAACTCTAAGTCTGGAAGTACGCACCGAAGACGTTCGATTTAGGGAAGAGACGGACCAGGAAGCCTTCCGCATGTGGTTGGTGACCTACGTCAATCCAAACGGGGGATTAAGAACTATCCCAAAAGTCTGCCGAAGCTGAGAGTACATACTTATCATATGTCCGGCCCGATAAGCATCATTCGGTCACTATGAGAGTTACTATCCCCCATCAATGCCTGGCTGCTACGTTTCGACCAACTGCCGATGTAACAATGATTGAAACCGGATTGATACGGCGGTTGAAACTCAACGACTCATCCGTATTGGAAATGTAAGAGCCCATGGAGGCCATTTCAAGGCGGATGCCTCCCTTTATGAAGAAGATTCGCGTTATCTTGATGAAGGTGGAAAGGTACACCCACCACGCAATGATCGGGATACTTGTTATGAAAACACAGGGAGACTCCTTAGGGACGGAGACAGTGGTTGTGCATGCACTAACCCCTCAAATACACCGGGTCATAATCTCACATATCCTAACACCATTACCGGATGTTGCAAGGAATGAAAGCCTGCCCAGGAAATGAATTGCATAGGCTAATAGCGAGAGGACGAATCCAACGGGACGGCTCCTAGAATACATGCCAGACATTGGAGTCATGGCGGCCCTCGAGATTCATAGTACCTTCATGCCACATCGCCATGGCTCTAGTCGGTGAGTTTTTAAGGAGAATTATGGTTTCATAAGCACAGTTGCGGTCTTGATCGAATATAGGGTCTTGGAAGCAGCTGACTTAGATACAATGGGGAGTGAACAGAAAGAATCTTGGTGGTGGGAAAATCTAATCGAAAGACTAACAGCCAGGAAGTGTCAATATGGACAATATTTTGATCCACAGACTGTCGATATTTTAATGGTTCCGTTTAACCAGTGCACCTGCAATTTGAAAATTGGCTAAGATGCCTATGCAAAATTGACAAAGCCAATGGCATGCAGGACGAGAAGACAGGTTACGCATTCTGGCACAGAGAAGAGCCAGTATGTAACTGAGAAAACACAATAATTGTCGAAGCTCAAGCGGAAGACAGACTAGGGCACAACCAAACTCTGGACTAAAGTAAAGAGACAGGCTGATTCCATATCAGGTATTGGGAAACATTCATTTCTGAGCAAATGACGGAAAGCATGCAGTCAAGAAAAAGCATTCCCAGACTATATAACTGAGTCGCGGTCTACTATTGACGCCACAGATCTTCTTCCTCATCGTGAGGGTTATGAGGACTGGGAAATATATAACATGAGAATTTTCAATAGGTCTATGACAAGATTAACTGCTTCCTACATGGCCACACCGATTACACTTTTTGGCATAAAGATGTTAATGTAGCAGAGACTAATACTATCATTGTGGAAGCCAAGGCAGTAGGGAAAATGGACTGGCATCAGGCCTTAGCATACTTGGACTGATGATGGGGGCCCTCCTAGCTGACTCAGTGGGACTTGGAAAAACTTACGTGGGAATCGATTGATTTCCTCTTGCATGTGAGTATATATAATGGGTATGGTGGGAGGCTTTTGCAGCTGACGCAATGCAGAGATACTCTATGTTTATGAAGCAGTGCAAGGACGATCATCGATAGGAAGTACTATCTGCGTTATCGCGCAAATATATAATAACACTTCCTCATTCAAAGTATTGTTAACACATGATGGGACTTATCAGTCAAGCATATTGAGACGCCATGCAAAGAGGCCAGACGTGCCTAGTTATGGTATCGCAACCGATAGTATCGACTGGGTCTTTACAAAGATTGACCAAGCGTTGATAGGATCTTACATCGAGACTCTGCTAGATGCGAGCCCTGAGAATGACACTCGCCTCTGGGACCATCAAAAACGGTTAAATATCAGAGAATTTCAGGCTGTTTATACAGACAAGGAACTCGCAACAATTGGCATTACCGACCTAGACTATCCCCGCATCCCGAGGATGGTCCAGAGTTTCTCACTAGAATTCTGGCGTGGAACCGCCGTCTTAAAATTCTGGCGGATCTGGACCGAGAAGATGTCAGAAGGCGCCATCCTAGCAGACGCTGTAGGCCTGGGCAAGACTATAGCAAGCCGGCGAGAAAGTCAGCACTAACCAACACTGATTGTGGTTCCTCCGCACCTTCTAAAACAAACAATGGTCCTCGGAACTGCAGAAGCTAAACAACAAGTTGAACGTGTGTGCGTACCTTGGAGACAAACGTACACAAGGGGCGAAGTATCCTTTTCTATCATCGAGTGTGAAGTTAGGCTGGGCCTAGGGATAGCAGCAGATAGAACTCTATTGCTTTGTGCATAGGTTTGTTGATTATGTCCCATCAGCTGGGGACCGATGACTGGTCTGCCCTAGGAGAGCTAGGAGGGGAAAATTCGGTCGATAACTCAGCTTGGGTTTGAAGGATTCTTCATATATTCAACCCGTTGTCCTCTCTTCAATAACCTAACTTGCTTTCCCGGATTGCTAAAGAGAGACTGCAGATGGCCGCAGATCCCCGCTACATCGCGCGTTGAGGACGCTCTAAGAGCTCGGTGACAGTGGAAGAGAGGTGTACAGCAAAGCAAAACAAGAGCTATTTGCGAAGTTACCTGGATTGGTGAGCATACACTAGCCAAGTGCTGGTCGGATGAACGATACCACAGGTCTGAAATTGACATAACTGGCTCCAGCGCGATAATCGTGGGCAAGGCTGGTGGATGAATTATCTTCTAAGACCTACACTTACGTGTGGTATATACACGGAGATACACGCATACTAACAGCCGAACAATGACCTAGCGGGGACTCTACCGTGTTCCACGCCCGCCAGCTAATCGTCCAATCCAATAGACACTCATGACCAGTCTGACCGTGCTGACCTCGAGATAGATTGAAATCGCCATGCAGCGAGCTTGTGCCAATCCCCACACTGGGCCTGATGATACCCCCTGCGGACACGACACAGACTTCTCCATCTGATGTCTCTGCCGACCGAGTGCGCCGAATCATGTACTCTCCAAAATCCGCCGAGGCGCTAATTATATCATCGTGGAAGTCTCCCTCCTTAGAAACTGGATCAGGGAGTGGGAGTTGACTGTCAACCCTAATGATCTTTATATCTGCGCAATGGTCGTGCTCCAGAAACACACAAGGACTCGCCAATCGAATATCCCGACCTGAAAGGAATGGGTAGATGCGGGAATCAGCCCCAGCAGTTCTACTCCCAGAATGTTGAATGGTGGGAGACCCTCGCCATCGCGAAGGCCACTCGCGAGCTCGACCGGATAGCCATGGGACCGTTATTGGCCCACAAGTCAACTTAAAGACTGCGCTTTACACGTGCCATTATTTGAAGAGAGATGACGGAACTCACTGGTATAAATTAGAGAAGAGTAATGGATAAAAGCAAAGATTACTAGGATTTACTCTATAACTTAATTGAAGGAATATGTCAGACAAAGTAGTAGTATATAAGTGATTATAGTGCTCTAATATCACTGAATTGAAATATAATGAGAACTGATGTAGCTGATAATACGGCGTAGAAGTAGTAGGTAGTTTGTCTGCTACTGGAAATAACTCCTACAATGAGCCCTGAAATTAGGGTCAATTACATCCGAATCCGATGAAGTACTGACTGTACAGCATCAATTGAGACTCGCCATTTATTAGCCTTTTACTATCAAGGACGTGCTTTGCTACCTGTTAAACAGACCAACAGTACCATCCCCCAAGATACTCAGCTCCTTACAGCATAGTCCACCTTCCATCCTTCGCCATGCAACTACCCATTGTTTTAGGAAGTGAGCGAAACTTACGGGATCACAGGTCAATTGGTCCTGATAGGAAAAGTGACACAGTACCGAAAAGGATGCATCTATATAACATCGGATGTACATAGTCGACCGGCTCGATTTGGCATTGGTATATGTCGTAGGTAGTGCATACAGGACAAGCACCAGTTGCTGATAGAGACAAAACAAAGTGATTTTCACCGCCACTTGCACTTCACAGGTCACATCACTGAGATCCCAGAGGATGAGGGACTGAAGGTGTTCAAAAACTCTTATGGGATTCCATAAGCACGCAGGATAGTCCGAAGACTAATGGATGAAGATGGAGCCGACATTTTAATGGACCGCAGTGGGGATACGCCTTAGACATGCATAGACTAAACGACACACTATTCCGGATCCTGTCGTTACCGTCCAGGCTTTCGGACGTGCGATATTGACTAAACAAAGTGACAGCGATTATTTGGCTTCCATAAAGACGTGTGGGCTTATATGAGCCTTACTGATGGGAGAAAAGCAACCCGAGACTGTAAGAGGACAAGATACCTGCCACTAAGTAGGGGAGTGTTCTTATAAGTCTTGCGTTGCTAGACATCTAAAGCATCCACTAGAGCTTTGCGGGCAGTGTCCCATTGTTCAGTTTTGATATGAAGGGCTTCATGATGTTCTCTCTCAAGTTCTTTCAGTCGCGTTATTTCTTCTCTGAGTTCTTTTTTCCGCAACCTTTGCCCTTCGGTGAGATCTCTTGTGGGGGGTAAAACCCCCTCCGGGACTTGCCGTAAAATATTCCGTCTCTGTCATTCCTGGTGGTGATTCAGAAGACGAACATGCCTCGACCACTTCCTCAGAGAGTAGTATCGTTATGAATCTGCAGACGCACATCAAGCGGAGCGTAACCATCACTAGCTTTCACAAAGCAACCAAACCAATAATTATGCTTGTTTGGGTTCGATCTGCTTAAATCCTCTCAATAGATATATTGAAACAGAATAATGCCGTATACATTTAGTCTCGTACTATTAGACTAATAACGCACGGATCATCGAGGCAACAGAAGATTCTGATCCTTCTTCTATCCAGTCTCGGTAACATGTCTTGGGGAAATATAGAGCTTGGTCACGTCCTCGGCGCAAGTTCCCCTCTCTGAAAAGATCAAGACGTTTGGTCTCGCCCTGTCTCGCCTGATTCCCTAAACCTGCGAGTCCACTCCATCACGAGTCTCTAGCACCTGGGACTAGTGAGCCATGCTTCACAGTGGACCCTGATCCCTCAACGACGATGGAGGGGAAGATTTGGATGGATGGACCATGCTGGAGGATTGCAGTGCTGACAAGAGCTGCAGACCGAAGTCATCTATACCTTTATCGTCGTCATTGTTGTCACTGTCCAACTCAGACTCTGCAGCTCCGCTAAGTGCGGCAACCCGCTGGAGAAGCCATTGTATCTCTTGGATTCTGGTGTCAGGAAGAGGAAGTCGCACCGGATCCGGAACTATAATTACGAGGCATTCCCTGGACTTCATGGTTTGATGGCGTAGTGGATTGTACAGACGTATGCCTCCTGACTCAGGATTGTAGTCTATAGAGGTTCATTCCGACTCCTCAGTATGTTAGCTGGTTATCAGGATCTCTTGTTGTGTTTGATTATAACCTGTGGGACCGGACAGCAGGAGTAGCGAACAGTAACAGCCGATCACCCATCGTGAATAATCCTTTCCTGCCCCGACCATATACTCCAGTGCTTCATTTATTTCTATCGAAGTGTACTCCCGCTTGATTTCCTCTGTAACGCTCTCCCTCTCTAGCCACCTATATCCATGCTGTCATCTGGAGACTCGACTTAGAACCCGACGATCGCATTAGCGATGGCTTCCTCCCGGCTTTCAACATCTACCCACTGCTAAGTTGCTGTAGTTGACGCAGAGCTGGCACCAATGTCGATACGTTGGACTTGGATATGGTATAACATGTGCAGTTATTGTTTTTTGGACGGGGTAGTCAGTCATGTTCGTATAATATCCAAAAGAGGAATCGACCTCTCTTTCGAAGTTGACCCATTGAATCTACGGAAAGACTTCAGACGAGTCATGTCTCGTTTGACATCATGTGTTGAATCATTCTGACACCTTTTGCCTTCCACCTTGATCAAGAGGTATTAACCGCTATTGTTCTCCAGTGGAAGAGCCACTTCGTAAATTGTGCCAAATCTTTTAGACACGTCCTCAGCCCTAGCAAAAAAACTAGTACTTAGGTCTGGGGAGAGCTTGGTTCAAGATATGCTTGGCTAGGAATTAATTTGCTGGCTGCAGAGCATCACTTTTTCTTCCTCAGAACCGGCTGAAGCGTCCGCAAATTTCATGTCGAATCTTTGCGGATTTCGTTTAGAGTATGTTTTTGTCGGGACACATACTCAAAACGGGCCTACGGCCCATCTTTCAGTTCTTCCCTTGCAGATATTCATATATCCAAGTTTATGGAAGTGAATAAATATATACTCGAAAGATAATTTCCAGGGCATTCTCATCTGGATCGGCTTTAGCCATTCTGATAATGCGACCAGATACTAGATCACCGAATAGTTTTGAGAGAGTATAATCAGATATACTAAACAACCGCACACCTCCATGATATTGATCGCTTTCGATGATTTCTTCGGTAGTATTTGCTAAAACCCCTAAGGACTCATTCGATATATCCCCCGTTGGAAAACCCGGAAAAAATTGTACAGATCGGACATATTGGGTTCTGGGCGCCCCCTTTCCTCCTTTTTCCATTGCGTGGTAGTCCCCGTATGACTTCAAATGCAATCCTATCCATGTGGAGGACATGATGCGCGTCCATTGCTCTTCTGGTACCACCGCGTTGAGGAAATCTAAGTTCCCGTTCCTTGCTGTCGTATGTTTGGACAAACGTGCGATAGGGGTTCATTCTTGCTGTGCGGGTGTGTGTATTGCACGGTGAGCAAGTTCAATGTATGCTTGATTAGTAGTATGTTTGGTATTTTAGGTAGCATAGATATTATCTTGGCTTTGCATGGAACATTCATATATTGAAATGTAGATTGTGTACTGATGTACTAATCACTGATATTCCACTATGTTCGATGGAGGTTATACTTCATTATAGGAATTTGGTTTTATATTGAGATATAGATATGGATTGAGAGAAAATGGAGAAGATGGAGGCTGGCTGGCTGGCCGGAGGGGTGCTCTTATAGTAGAGGGAGATGGTAAGCTCGGGTAATGATGGCGAGTGAGTGAGTGGCTATAGCGAATAGAATGGAATGAGGATGGTGAAGAGGATTTGGTTGAATGTAGTAGTATTCGAGTGAAGGGGGTGATACTATAGGGTATATGATGGTATCGGAGTATTCAATGAAGTTGTATATAGGGTTCCTTGTTTGCTCTGGAAGGACGAGGTGGAATTCCCTGTAGACCTGGCTGGTATCTGCACCACTCTATCATTATCAAATGCTGATGCACGCAAATCCTATTGTGACTTGTGAGTAGTCTACCAACTACGTTACCTGAAGCAGCACGTTGCAACGAGACATCAACCCCATTCATGACTACGCGCTATAGATCTTGGATATCGTACGCATAGAGGTATATAATAAAGGCGCAAAAAGCATGACCAAAACGAAACAGGGCAGAACCTAAATGGGTTGGTTGGGAAGTATCCATCCCAGGCAAAAGGCAAATATGCGATTGCAATGATCACTTCAAAACCGACATCTGTAGCAAGAAAAACACCTTCGTACACCATCGTTTCACTTGGTATCATATCTGGAATGTATGAACGCAAAATTTCCCATCTTCCACGGTTTGGTATCTCATATAAAACCTTCCCAAGGGCACACTCATTTGGCACCTACACACCCCGGCTGAAAACGACCAAGCACAAAAAAATCACAACGAACATCTCGCAAGAATGAAAACCAGGGTAGAGGGGAGAATATGGCAGGGAAGGAAAGGATCACAACGCTAATGCCTTTCTCGTATTCTTCTTCCCTCTATTGCTTTTTTTGCATCTTTTCTTTCACTTCCTGACGTCTTATTTGACTTGCACTCTGTGGTATCAAAATAAATCCGAAACACGAATCGCTGACAACAAATCAAAACGAAAAACAGAAACTAAATGATGAAAAAAACAGAAGTCTCTTGGGGTATACTGCTGCAAATTGACATTGATTTTAACGCGGTGGCCCGATTGGGGCCGGGTATCCAGAAGTAGAATTGGAAGTACTAGGACGACCACTGTCAAAAGAAGCGCGCGGGTCATGCTTGGGGGTCATGTCCCCTGGCGCGGTACCGAATGGAAATTTGGTGTCAAAGCGCGCGGGCCAGCCATTGCTGCTGCTGTGGCTGTGAGAACTTCCGAGGACAGGCACGTCGTCCTCGGCAAGGTTCACGCCAGAATCATTCCATGGGTTGCGGTAGCCACTGTCTCGAGACTCCATGGAGACCAGTGACGCCTTCGAGGCGTTACTGGACGCATGCTTGAAGAAGGATCCGGGAGAGGCCGAGTGAT